CTCTCACGCACCAGTCGCTCCTTCCCCACCGTTTCCTCCATCTCTTTCAACCGCGCCCAATCCAACGTCGACCCGTTGAACAAAAAAGAAGTCACAATGACGTGACTAGCTCCTGCTTCTAGAAATTTCTGAGCGTTTTGGGGGGTGATCCCACCCCCCACTTGAAGGCCCTGCGGATATGCCCGCAGCGCCTTCAACGCCGCCTCTTCGCATCCGCCCCCTAACATGATCACGTGCCCACCCTTCAAATCATCCGCTTTGTACATTCTGACAGGTAAGGAAAAGTGGGAAGAGAAAGGGTCGCTAGACGCGTTAGAGGCCTCAACGACTTATGACGGTCTAGCCCGCTAAAGGATGTCTCATCACCAGATGCTGCAATGCCTTCCTTTTCAGTCAAAACCCAAAAATTATCGCTGTCTTTCTTCGGGCTTTGGATGTGCACAACTTGCTTTCGTTGTTCCCTTCGACACATCTCGACATGTTACGCTCCAACCTTCCCTCCCGCGTCCTCTCTCTCCCTACTTGGCAAAGTCCTCTGCGCTCATGGTGGCCTCAAAGTTTGTCACAAGGGCGGCATCGCTTCCAGTCAAAGAGGAACCAACGATCTGCTTCACTTTTCCTGCATGAAGATCAATGCATGGGCGAAAAACCATATTTACTGTGTGGAAGAGGCGGGAGGTTGAACTGTTCAGCGGAACGATTGAAAAAAAGATGACAGAGGATTGAATGAGATAGATATCAGATTGCGGCGAAGTTGAATAGCCATGAAAGTCTTGAAAAATAAAGGCCAGGATGGAGATTGTAAGCAAGAAATGGACGTATGAAAGAAAAAGGGTGGGACGTGGGGGCGTGGTAGGGCGCACATCGGGGCTCACTTAAAAAAAAAAGAAATCCAGCGATGCGTGAATTCTTCGAAAAAGGACACACGATGACCACAAGGTCCAACAAATTTGGAGCGTGGGCGTGTCCCAGAAAGCATTGAATTGCCTCGCATTGCGGCGGACGTTTGGCCACAGTAACGCGAGCCGGTGGGAAGGACGTAGTCCGGCGAGTCGCTAACCCACATTCAACGACTGAGGTTTTTGTGATTGCTGACAAAACATTCCTGTCTACCAATCGTGCGACTGCCACGGTCGTGAAAATTGAAACTTTTCCATTAGCTTTTCCCGGTCTGCCATGGTCGCGATGGCTTCCCGATTGGATCTTGTGCACAGGCATACCAGTGCTGAGAGGAGGAGACATGGAGCATACAAACGCGTCTGCCCCGCTAGAATTTTAAGCCTTTCGCTTACTTTAAGCCAGCGTTCAGTTCTATTTGAGTGGAGATATGAATCTGACATAAGAGCCGCCCTGACAAATTATTTACAGAAGGAAAACAACGAAAAGAAGAGGTTCATATTCAACGAGGTCGTCTGAGTAGTCAAGGGGAACGTAAAGATTACGATTCTATAGCCACACAGGATGGCGACAACATCGGGTGAGACTGTGCGTGTCGAGACTTTGAATTGAATGCCTATGTTGTTACGAGCCTCATCGGTCCATTGTACCGACGCCCCCCAACTACCGAGCAGTCATTTCTCCGTCTGTCCTTCCTATTCCAGCCCCCCTTCCTCCTTGAGCTTTTCCACTGACCGTCCCTCTGTGGCATGTGCTCGTGCTCATGTGGCCATCGATTACCCCAACAGGCCTCAACAGGAAAAGTACATGTGCAAAAGAAGAGGATGTTCTCCTACAGCACATCCTTTCCTTCTCCTCCGCCCCTCCTCCCCCCCCCGCAATGCCCCACGATGGGCGCCATTCCATGCATTCCAACGATAATTGTCCAACAGCCTCGACGGACTTCGACTCTGCAAGGAGGTTCGTTTCCCCCCCCCAGGCCCCTCCTCTTTCCTTCCCCTTGTCCTTCCTCCCTTCCTTGCGAAGACCTCCCCCCATCCTCTGGCATCCTCTTCTTCCCACTCAGAAAGTCGGCGACGGTGGAAGCATGTACAGTAAAAGAGAAACTGAAAAGAAAAATGGCGGATGTGGCCGTTGGGACAGCGTTGTGCTCGATGCAGGGACTGGCATTGGAAGGAGGGAGGCGGAAAGTCAGCAAGGAGGGTGTGGGGCCGGGAGGGTTCAGGACGAAGGATGACAGGACGGGAGAGGGAGGAGGTTACTGTAAACACGACGGAGGGACGGCCGATAAGCAATTACTGGGGGGGGAAGAGGAGGGTAGAGAGCCCAGTGACCTGAGTCGGCGATCATGAGGGCAGGGGGCAAGGACTTCCTTCGTCGTAGCTTGTTTTTCCTCCTCTCCTTCCTGAGGTGAACAGGGAGGTATGGGGGTGTCGGGGCAGGCTGGACGGCCCCAAGGCTGACGTACGATAGGTGGGGTGGAAGCGTGCAAGGAATGCCAAGATGGGAGTGGTGGGTGGTGTCCTTGTATATGTATATCTGAAGGGGGGAAAGCACGGCGATAGAAAAAAATGGCATGGTATAGATAGAAAAGCATCTCGCTCAAATTCTTTGTTTCTGATTCCCGCCGATAATAAGTGTTTCGCGGGCTAATCGTCGGCAAAGCGATGCACAACGAATGCAGGCAGTCTCTAGGATACCGCAGCTGACTCCTCTTTCCCTACCCCACTCCTACACTCCCGTGCTCTCGGACGCCACCCACGTACAAGACACTCACGGGCTCCCCCCTGGCCTCCTCCGAGTTCCCCGTCCCGACGGGCGCCCTTCCCCACCCGAGGCCGCCCGACCTGTGGTACCGAGGCCATCCCCCGCTATTCGACCGCCACCCTCCCCCCTCCCACTCCTCAAAATTTGTGGCACCCTGCAGTCCGCTCCCGGCTCGACCCCTCCTTTCCCGCCCTCCTACCCTGGATTCCCGCACTTCTTTCTGAAAGAGCGTCCCCTAACTCTGTACATGTCTTACGTATATATATCAAGCAGGCCCGAGACAAAGCACAGAATCCAATTATACACTACCATGGCACACACGGCAACGACTCTCAAGCCCCCTCCCCCCT